AGGAATTCTAGGGACGAACCAATCGAGAGCCTATTGCTCAACATACACGTCCGAAAAATTGAGATAAATCGGACATACACTGATGAGACCTTTGAGTGACATCACATGCTAGGCCATCACTCGAGTAAAAACCGAGTAGGAAACGACCAGTTGGGCGTCCGAGGGTATTATGGAAGACATCACATGAGTAGAAAAGGAAAGCCTATCAGCAGTCTTGGAGAAAGCTTAGAAAGACTACAGAGAAGAGTGTGAAACCGAATGCAACGGAGTAATAATAATCGTAGAATGGCATAACTTCTGTTTGTATCTGTTAATGATAATACGCATTTTGTTGCATACTGCATCGTTGTTTCAGTCTCTATTAAAGTCAGTACATTAGCGTATTAGGTGAAATTGCGAAGTTGTCTATTTTACAAAACAGATAAAATATTATCCAACGACGAAGTTAGATACTGCAATATCACAGTGTTACACTATCTCGTAAATAATATTTATAACTTGAAATATATAAGAAAAAGAATCAAACAGCGAAGAAAATTTTCTTTTCGACGATTCATTTTCATAAGATAATAAAAAGAAGCAGAATTATAGTAAGAACTTTACTCTGGCCACGGCAGAGTGAGTGAATGTATGTAGCGCTTTTGAATGCAGAGGTTCAGTTTCAGATCCCAGATAGCTAATGCTTTAGCTATGTACACAAGGCGTATGCGAAGTCTCTTTGTACTATACTGAAATATACCATTTTACATTTCATTAGTCAAATGTATTTATGCTTTCAGACGTGACGATTCACTTAGACATTAACTAATACTCAGCTATAACGTTCCCCAATGGCGCAGTAGTTTGAAACGTGACAAGAATAACTAGTAAATGCACTATATAAACAGGCTTTTTAAATTTTGGTGGGTAGTGACTAGCAATGGAATCTAGGATGCTCATTTCAAGCTATTTCAGAACTCGGCAGCTCCATTTACCTGCATTCCTTAATGACTGGTGGTGTTCTCACTGAGCCTGGAACTCAGAACTTGTCGTTTTGATCGCCAATGCGTCACCCACTAGACCACTTGGGTCATTAGAGTCACTTATCATGCTGCGGGTATCGATTATTATTTATTTCTAGTTCCCGTTGACTAATTCGACTGGTAGTCAGCATCTACCAAATTACTTCAAGCTGATCCTCAGATATCATTAAAGCATCCAAACAAGCAGCCAGCATGTCAACAGAGGCCTTAAAGTTTCGGCCCAATCAATCGACGGGGAAATAAAAACTGAATTTAAAATAAACGATAACTGATCATTTTTTGCATTCTGTGATTTCTCATTTAATTTAATATTTACTTTTCTTTTTCTGTTACTAATTTCATAAACTATTGATTGTTCGCCTTTTTGTCTAAGCACTGTTGTTCAATTTCTTTTTTACTTTTCTTTTTCTTCTTCTTCATGTTACTTTTCTAATGATTTATCATTAAATTAAATCGAACTATGCGCTTATCTTATTTCATAGCTTTTGTAATCAACAAGCTTAGTTCAAGTAACTAGGTCAAGTTGATTAACAAGGGATGAAGACAATGTCAGCTGGTGAAAAGGTGCTTTAAAGCTACTTGGTTTTATTTATTTTTTTTAAATGCATCACTTTAAATCAATATTCAGATGCGTTATTTTGCTTCACAGATTATAGTTTTGTCAGTACACTTATTTCAATAGCAAGAAAAGGAATAAAACTAAAATTCATCCAGCTATCTGCATAAGTTCTATATAAAAACTTGAAATAATATGGATGTTTAGAACAAATATTAACCTAATTTATAAATTTCGTGAAACATCTCATCATTTCGAACTATGAACCAATGTGTCTTTCAACAGAGTGCAAACAGCTGTCAAAATAATGACTATTTTTCATTCCTTTGACCTATGAGTGAAACATTGGGCTATAAGCGTGAGCTTTCAAGTTTTTGTGGCGGTGGTGTTGTTTTTTTCGGGGGTTGGAGTTGCTAGCCTCACATGGAGACTTGGACACGCATAAGCCTGGAATCGAACTGTGGACCCTATGGGCGGTTAGAGAATATTTTACCATAGAATCACTGACTCAAATGGTAAGTCTACAAGGTCTTATTCTGACCTTGATTCATCTTATTGCTGTGTCTTTATAATTGGTTTCTGATGACTTCTTTTATTCGTAATACTACTCCGAAGCTACTAGTTAGGAATCAGTCATAGATTATAAAAAAAATGCATTTTACAATTATGAATAATTAACACAAAAGATTGACATGCAGGCAAACACACTATAATATCTATTCTCACTTAAATTGATGTAATAATAATACCTTCATTCTAAACATGTTTACAGGCAGTACAGAATCTTGAGCCTAGCTTTATCTACGCCTTATACGAAATCTTCAAGTAACACTGTAATCTATAGTATATTACTCTACAGAATTTTGTTCTATCTCCTCCGACGAAATTGTCTCTTCAAACATACCGACCAATATGCTGGAAGTTATTCAAAAATGCACGTGAATACCGACTGTTCTTCAAAGGCATAACTAGGCAGTTAAAACAAAATGCAACCGAGTGAATCTGATGTTTTATGCTCAATGGAAAATAAGCTAGTCCAGTGATTTGAGAAGGCCATCACTAGTCGTGACAATATTACAATGACAATTTCTTAATTTATGTCAATAAAAGTTTAGCATATTCACAAATCTAAGAGAGTAATTAATGAAACTGTCTTCTTTGAATAACCTGAAAACCCGAGTCATTAAATTGCAGAAATAGGAATCAAGTTAACACAGAAATTCAGTAAGTAGTTAACAGTTTCATTCTTGGAAAGTAGATTACGAATTCGATAAAAAATGAGGATGTGAGAATTACATGAATGTTAAGTAATAATTTTAATAAATATTTCCACTGTCCACCCAAACTTTCTGCCACATTTGTTTATTGCCATTTTATGTGTTAGTTTTCTACATGATTCTTATCTAGTTAACTTGAGAAATTTTGCCACCCGATAAATGTGTGGCATTTTTGTGGAAGACCGCTAACTTTCCTAAAATTATGTACTCCTTTAAAACCATAAATTAGTGATTTCATCATCGAAAGGTTCGGTTTTTGAAAATCTTTAAATATATTTTTGAGGTACTTGTAACCATCAGTGGATAATATTTTTCACCAAAAAAACGACTTATTTCACTTGACTGTAGCCTGTTTGTTCAGCTGACACAGAAAATATTAATTGAGGTCAGTAGTATGCCTAAGAAGTTGCCAAACTTTTGTATTAAAATTATTTTTACATTTACTAAGGTGTGCAAAGAAAGTAGACCTCCCGATGATTTTGATTACAAGTTGATCTAACATGTAACCTCATTTCCTTGTCTTCGCATCGATCGTTTTAATATTTTAACATAATAACTAGGCAGTATCTGTTAATTTCTTCTTTTGAACAGTCTGAAATATGAATGACCACTTGCCTAATATTCCTTGTTTCTCAGTGGATAACGAATATAAGACTTTAGAGATTTCTTTTCTTATACAGTAAGGATTAATCTATAACGAATTAATAATATTTCATCTTGTACTTTTATGCTGAAAAGCAGTCTTGGGTCGTTCAACTGAAGCAATCTAATTGAGCGTATGATAGGTAGAAAAGTAAGTGAAGCATATTTCAATAAAGTTTATCCACGCAGAAAAATCTCAAGAGTTCAGCATTGAACACAAGTACTCTGTCGGTTACATTTCGTCTACTAGGTAGTACCTTCAATATGAGATAAAAATTTCTCTGTGTGATTCTAAGCCCTTATATCTTTATGCACAGGATTATTTATTTTCCCTAATACTTAAAAATTTTCTTTATATTCTTGATTAAATGCATAACATTTATTTCACAATAAACGAAAATGTAGTCTAACTTTGAAAGAAGAATAGGTGATCAACTGCGAACAAGGTTAGTTTGGAGGGATAACTTCTTTGATTGAGGAATTATGAAGGATTTATTATTTTTAGGATACAGAAATGTTTTACTTTCAGCAAAGACAAGTCTTTGAAGTTATTATGGATGTGTCATCTTAGTTTCATACAAAACTCTCCCTATTTCCGAAAAGCTGATTATTACTCACTGTAAGATATACACGAATAAATAGGCGTCTCAGCACTCATTAAAGAATTTATACACTCTTTTGCGTTAAGCAGCTTGAACAGAGCAAGGAAAGCAAATGTAATACTTAGTTACCTGGTTAAAATTGACTTATCTGGTGACATGCTATGAGACAAACTCATCGCATCAGTGGTTATGATACTACACAGTGCGGGGGGCGGTCACAAGTAAACTCATTGCTCGAATATTGAGTGCTTAAGCCAGTGGACCACATCCAAAAATGTAGCAAGAGAATTTTAGCTGACTTTTACTACTAAGTGAGTTATTTTCAATTGAAATGTATAGATTACGAGCCTCAGATATACTTTAATCACGTTCAAAAGCCACCATTAGTTGGAGCTATAAGTAACATAAGTCCAAAACAATGTAAGTAGTTAAACTTTGTATATGTTGGAAGGATTGACAATTTATAAGTCAATTAGATGATATCCTAGAAACAACGTTTAACTAGAAGTAATTGACAATATCAAGATTATTCAGTTCTAAAACACAACTGAAGATACGGAATACCAAATGAAGCAATGGCATCGTACTGAGTGGTCTTGTAAATATAATCAGAAATGTAATGCAAAGTTAAACACCTTCTTCTTCTGCGTGTAAGGATCTGGTTTCAAAGATTTGATAGTGATTGTTTCACCTGAATGCATCAGGAGCGTTCTGTTCTTAGTTTTATCTTAAATTTGTGGTCTGTTCTATCTCCCGCTTTGTTTCTAACCTCAGTTTTCTCATTTGGGCGTCACTTATCCTACCCATCTTGCTAGTGAAAAATAGTCTCTTTATGCCAACATACTACCACCAGTTAAACCTTGTTTCTGCTAATATTTTGAACTCTAACGCTTTGTTTTTCTAAGAATATTCTTATAAAAAACAGTAAGTCAATCAGTCAGACATTTTAACACTTAAACATCGAACCACTTACATAATTTCAGACTTTTATACGTATAATTTGAATAAATAATGCATTATGAACATGAATAAAAGCATATTCTAGACATTTTTCTACTTTATATATATTTTACTTTTGTTTAGGTTATAAAATGGATGAAAGGAATTCACGAAGTAACAAAAATTGAGCTCACATTCTCCTCCCCTATTTTTAATTATTATTATTTTGCTTAATTCGACTAATGGAGTAATAAATTTGTCAGAGCTGTTTCACGGAATCACTAATCAAAGACAACACGCATGATCTCTGATTTGCACATTTATATGTGTAATTAGACATATATACAGGTATGTTATGCAACAAACTTGCCTTCAAATATATATATATATATATATGCGAATTGATAGATATATTTCTGGACAGAATTAAATAGCACACAATTTTGCTAATGAGGCTTTTAAGTATAGGGTACACATTTGCTTGCTTTCTTATATATATCACAAAAGAAAAGAAAATTATATGTACAATAAAAATGAATGTGTATTATGTAATCTGTAATTTTTTGGGGGGGAATTTCAGTCATTCCAACATAGAAATATCTGTGAACACACCTCTTTTTTGATCTCTTATATATATATATATCGTATTATTCATGGGTGTAATCATAAATAGACATATCTCTTTTAATGCATTCATGTAATTCATTGTTCATTGAGAACAAGTCAGCATGTGATTATCAGCAGTTGTAGTTAGAGAAGGCGCAGTAGTACAAGCAGTAGTACAAACAGGAACAGAAGCTATTATAGTTGTATTTTCATTATAATTATTAATTAATCGAGTATTTGGCGTACTCAACGACAGGCAACACTTTAATTGTTTTGTTTTACACAAACGATTGAAATCTGATAAAAATATACTTGATGTACATGAGTAAATAAAAAAATGTGTCATATGATTGATCATTTGTAAAATAACCGTGACTCTTTCAATTGTATCACATACATTAATCCATTCACCACTATCAATACAAAATTTATATTCAAATAAATAAAAGAAGACAACTGGCATTGTTAAGACAAAATGACTTATAGTCATACAGACAACTGTTCTTAACACACGAGATGAACGTTGTTCACGATGTTTTGATGATTTATCCTTTTGTAGAATCACTTTACCTTGTGAACATGTTGAAGTATTTAACATTGTAGATGATGCTGGTTTTGATAGAACTGTTGTTGTTGTTGTTGTTGATGTTGCTGTATTTCTAGCATGTTTCACCGCTAAACTAGTCGTCTTCATCCGCCATATAATACTAATATTTACTAGTAGTATAAAGGCTAATGGAATAAAGGAATAAATTGCAAAGTCTATATACGGCCAATAGAAATGAAATGCTCTATACTCTGGTTTTGGTGCACATGAATTATCATTCACGTGTACAGTCCATACATAATGAATATTTAAACTGATTAAACTTAAGATAACTATTACAAGTGCAGTGATCCCGTGTTCTAGTCTACACCATTGTTTAAATCTAACTGGTGTCCATACACATATAGCTCTTTCAATACATAATAATATAATAATCCATGTTGATAAATCTGTTGAAAATGTGAATAAGAATAGGGGTATACCACAATTTAATTTGATACGTATATCCATTTGTTCATCTGTTATGCCGATTATCCATTGTCTTAAACAACCATGTGCTATAACATAAGTATCTGTCATACACATAACTCCAATCAGTAAACTTGTTGAACCCACTGTCACCGATATACGTTTTAACCAAATCACCATAGATAGAATATTACCAGGTATTCCAATAATCAAAATAATTATTGGTACAATACTATAGAATGTGGTCAATGAATGATGTACTTTTGGATGAATTTGTGTATTATTTGCATCAATCAGTAATATCATTATTTATTCTTGTCTGTTAAGTTGATAAACTTAATATTTTCAATATGTATATCAGTATTACCAAGGTGAAAACATGATAATAATTAAATGTGTGAAGGGTATTCATCATTGAAAGAGCATTTTAATACGTAGATATGGGGAAAAAGGTTGACAAAAAGAAAAAATGCTTGAATAAATTATTCTGTAGGAGAAGTATCTCGCCTTTAACATTTTAACCAGTAGAAATGAAGCTTTTTTCTTGACCAATAGAAATGTAGGAAAATTTTGATTAGTAATTTGTCATTTTTAATGCAAACTACTCTGTTTTATTGTGAAATTAAGGTTAATATTTAATTTGCTAGGACAAAATATATAGCTGATGTTGGTCAACGATGAAGGTTTCCAAACCGAGTAGTTGTGCGTCGATGGCACAGCGGTTAGGACGCTCGCCGACCATGCACATGGTCCAGGGTTCGATCCCCGGCCACCGACGCACTCCTTTACCTCGCTAAGCCAGAACTAAAAAGCTGGTGAAGAGGAAAGTTTGGGAATGTGGCAATCAACCCCATCCTGTAAAATAAGCACTGCTCCAGAAACTCCAAGCCACTAGCCTGAAGCCCTATGTTCCACTGGGAACGTGAAGGAAATAAAAAAAGGATTAACTTTATTTGGTTATGGTCTGAACTCAAGAAACCAATCTCTACGTTCTACTGTAAAGCTGACAGTACTTCATTGAGACACGGGCCATCACGAAACGTTCCAACAGCAGGGAAAAGACGATTATTCTTCAATAATTTTAGTGGTTCTATTAAGCAATAATAAAATCAAAACTCAGATTTACTTCAATAGTGCCGTGAGGCAACTGTATAGGCAATGTAAGTTTCTAAGTGCAAAACAAATTTAGTTAGTTAGTTAGTTACACCTCAGTTACCCAATACTGGGTTTTAAGTCACACTTATTCTGTGAGGACCAATGGTACTACCCACCTGCCTAGGCTGAAGTTGGTGGAGCGGGACTCGAGTGCTTAATCCAATGAACCATATCTCCACATATATAACAACTACTATAAGACGAAATTAGTTAATCAAAGTTAAACTGTATAAAGTACTTTAGAATCAAGAACAATATTCCCAACGAAGTGGAATCATAAGCTCTGTCCTCAGGAACCACACACCAACGCTTAAAGTACTTAAGTACCTAATTTTCTTAGACAGCTGAAAACCACAGACTTAGTAAAAGTATTAGTTTTGTAACTCTAAGTATGTAATCAGTTGTACATGAAACCATGACTTGTGGGCTCAGTAGCTCCCAGTGGTGTCTTGGTTCCCGTAGTAAAAAAAATCATCTTATTAACCCGAGATCGACGGTATGCAGCTGTTTTAAATATATGATGTGAGATGTCTGAAGCAGCCAGCAGAAAGTTCTGAACCTAAGTCTCATACTTACCGCCACTCGTTAGTAAGGCTTATCCAAAATTTCAAAGGAACTGTTGTCCCTACTTAGATTTCACACTGCTAAGTTACTTGGGCCCAGTGGTATTGGTATAACAAACGTCGCTAGTCACAGTATAACTGTTCCAGCAACAAATCTTCATATCTAATACCCTGCAATGATTGTCAGGTCAAATACATAGATCAAACTATTAGAACAGGGGCAGTCAGACTAGCCGAACATAAAAACCTAGCAAAATCTAGATTGGTTGACCCAAATAAGATAAGAAATCTAGAGAATAGTTCAACTATAGCACTACATGCAATTACAGGTCAATTGATGGATGGTGACTAGCAGTGGAGTCCACGTGGAGCCACCATGTCAGCCTAAGAGCGAGAACTTCGGTCCAATCAGTTGACGGGAAAATCTAAAATTGAATTAAATAAATAGTTTTTCTAACAAAAATAGGTTTAGGAGAAAATCTATTCTGAAGGAACTTGGCATATATCTTTACGTTTCACTCACCACTCAATAACTTTTGAACAAGTAGATGAAGTCTTGATCAGATTTAATTAAATTCATCTGTATGCTTCTGAATATTGAGAATGGTAGTTGATTACGAAGTCATGAAGTGAGTCTTTGATGCCATTTGTAATATCATTCCTAAATAAAACAAACACACAGGATTTTGTAGGTTTCTGTGGCCACGTTCATTGATCTTCGTCGAAACTCATAAGGTAAATATTCCAAAATAAAAGAGTATTTTTCATACTTTATGTTTAGCAACTGAAAAGCCACCGAGCCTCTGTATTTGAAATCAAATCTGAAAAATAATTAATAGATTTGTGTTCAACGCAGATATCACAAATCTATGCGCTCACTGGAACAAGGATCTGTCAGCTGCATGTACCTGCATTCCTAGTGAGTGATGATAGTCCCACTGAAACTCAAACCAAGTTTCCATCTTTTCAAATGTCAAGACACTTTCCACTTGACCACCTGAGCCACAAGAACTACCTCTTGCTCAACAAGTATCAGTTATTATTTGCTTTGAAGATACATCCGGATGACGAGTCTCAAATAGGATGAAGTGCGCTCCCTGAATTACACTACTAGTTAATAGCCACAGAATTACCTCAGGTTAATCCTGAGACATCATCAAAGCGTCCCTAATAAGGGCGGACATGTTACCAGAGGCAAATTCAATCAATCAGCAGGAAAATTGAAACTGAATTAAAAACAAATAGTGAACGCATTAACGTTTAATAGGATGAAAGCAGAAATTATCATGTGGGAAGTTGATTTTTCCAACCAGGTAGTCTAAACCGCCCTTCTTGATTCATAGACTGACCTCAGGTTTAAGTTTGACCACCTCTAACTCTTTTTTAAGCAATTTTTGTATCGGCTTACACTGCCCATCGAAAAAGGTGATGGCTTGGCATTCACAACACGTGTCCAAGCCATCTCAGTCGATTCATTTTCACAACCTTATCGATTAACCTAACCTCCTTACCTAACAGTCTACTCCTAATCTGAGTATTATTCACCACATTATACCGTTTAACACTTGAGACAGAGTGTGGACACCAGTGATCAGAGATAACCAGCCTCTTGATATATCACACTTTTAGTTGGCGTTGTCTCACAACCATAAAGAAGGACAAAGCGAACTTCTGCGCAGGACAAATGTCCTTTGAACCATAGCCGAATATCAACTCTACATCAGAGATGGTGTAGGTTGGCAAATACCGAATGAACCTTTTGTATCTAAGCTATGATTTCATCAGCATTCAGTCTATTGTAGCTGATTTAACTTCCTCAATGGTTGAAGTGGTCAGTATGCTCTACCATTTCGCTCCCTATACTAAGGCTACGAGTCTGTGCAGGCAACTATACTTTTGTATGAATTTTAGTCAGCTCTGATCTACTTAAGGCTAATCTAAATATCAAATTGGTGAAACTGTTTAAAAACCACTTTTAAAGTACTACCTATGGATAACTCAAGATTTTGTCACTCTCCTTTTTATCTTTGTTTGTTCAGGCAATAAATGACAATGAAATATAGTCTACCTTTCATCATAATATCCTATGCATGTCTGAGACAATCCAATTGGGTTTTAGTTCTCATTTGTGTCTGTTATGGAGTCTAATTACATAGGAATCACGAATGTTATCAATGTAAAACATTTTGTAGTAAGTTAAGATAAAGATTTATTTGACCATAGTGATTTTTGAATTTAAAATAAAATATCACGTGGCGGCAGACTATGTGAAGCACTTCTGCCTGACGCGAAGCGCAAATAATGAAATTATGATGAAGAGGAAAGGTTGGGCATGAGGCTAGCAACCCCATCCTGTAAAAATAAACGCTGCTACAGAAACTTCAGGCCTCTAGCTTGAAGCCCTATGTTCCACTGGGAACGTGAAGGAATAAAAAATTATGCCTTTTTTGTCTTCTTCAGTAAATGCATGTAATTTGAATGATTAGCAATTAGAAAAGGAATCCATTCTGTGAACCAAGGACACAATCCATGAACAGCTATCTCTTGTATTGCAATACACCCCAACCCACGATTATATTTTTTCTCACGATAACTGTAAACTAGCGAATCAGCTAATTGTGAACACATTAAATACTCGTCAGAGTATGGAACGTAATTAAAGGTCACATTTTACCAGAATTAAACAATTTGAATGAAAGAAAATATCTGTGAAATATCGATGGAAGTTTTCGATAGCCCAAATTTTAGCAAGCTAGTACTAGTGTTCTGTTTATAGGCGTTTTTGACCAAACAATAAATTAGAAATTTAAAAAAACAAAGAAAAGGAATTCATGCTGTTATTCATTTGCTTTCCTGAATACATACACTTGATCTATGGATTACAGATAGGCTTTAGTTGTGCTTAAGTTTTGCCCACCGAATTTTATTTCCCCACAACAGAAAACATGAGCCTCACTTCCTTATATTGATAAAATCTGATCGGAAGATTGGATAACGATAGCTAAACAACAAAAGAGCTTATCAGATAATATTTTTTAAACAGTAAATGAAAGTATTGAATGTTTTCGTTCGTCGTACACATTTTAATGAGAAATGTGTTGTTTCATTTCAATATGGATTCATTCTTGTATCTTTTATGAAAAAAACACCTAGGAAATAGGCTGTGATGGGCCGTAAAACCATTTTCACTCTGAAACAGTTGTTCGCGTACAGTCAAATTCAAGTATTACGTCTTGACCTTTCTCTATTGAAGAAGTTTCTTTCAGATATGATAGAGGAGATTTGTAGCTCAGGTGGATGATTTTGATGTGGTTGTGTTCTCTGAGCTGGATAGTTAATTTGCGAAGCTTTCATCGCTCTACTAGACGACATCTTCAGCGCATACTTCAATTTGAAGTGAGCTTTTAGATTTCTCCACGAGTTTATTAATCATCTCTCCTGGCGACCTTGGACGTGATTGGTTGTTTTTGTGTGTTTTCACACCTTCTAAGTTATTTGTATTGTAATTCATTGTTTCTTTGACTTGAACTTTGACCCTTTGTGTGTGAGGTTTCTTTCTTATCGGCTGATATATTTTGTCTATCTCGATGTGTCTATTGATTGATGATTCACTGGAATGCCAAGCTTCTAAATATTCTCTAGCATTGTTGTTTCCTCTGTCTAATATTTGAACGTTGTCACAGTCGAATTGATGCCCATGGTTGCCTGTATGTAGTGATATGAGGGAGTGGATATCATGTCTTTTGACAG